TCCATGGGCCCCGCTTGGTGGAAGAAGGCGTTCGCGCATTGTCGGCGTTCGGTTTGATTCGGCGAGTCGAGGCCGGCGTACGTGCGGTTGAACAGGGCTCTCCCGGACGAGACCATGAGGGCGGGGAGCGCGGAGGCGGCAATGTGAGGCATGATCAGGGTTCGGCATATTCGAACCATGACCCCCAGCAGCGCAAATATGATCATGTCGTTTTCCAATGCATGATGCCACCGAATCATAACATCTACGGTGGTCTGGCCGCCCAACGGGATGAGATCCGTGATGGTCTGCGGCCATGTCGCCTTTGCACCTTTGGCGACATTCTTGGTCTTCGCGGCTCCGACGGCATGGGAGAAACTGGCCATGAGGAGGCGAGGAAACCGGGCCCGAGCCACGTAAGATGCGTCCTGAGACACTAGATTGCCTCCCTTAGCGTCCTTCCAGTCGCTCTCACACCTGGCGCTCGTGGCATGCAAATCAAGAAAGTAAGAATCCGTCTTCGGGCAATCGCACTGAGACAAACGACGCAAAAGAGTTTCCATTTCCTCTTCGCTGCGACTCTGGGTGAGAAATGCGCAGGAGACATTCCAAAATTCGTGGTGCGACGCAAGGACATCGTGGTAGACGTCTGGGGTTGGAAGGATCTTGCAGATGAGACCAGTCAAACAAATCCCACAACATTTAGGAGCATTCACGTCCTGCAAAGCCGCAACGTAGATGGCTACCGCTTTGTCGCGGGGCGAGACTCGGTTGGGTGCCATGTGTTGGAACTTGGAAACTTGCGCCACGTGGGTATTCAGACTCCGACTTCCTTTATCTTATCTCTGTAAATCACGACACTGATGGGTGGGTCACTCCCATACCCCTTAAGTCCTGCCAAACCTTTCTCACTTTTTCCAGATGTTTTCTTTCTCTTGGCCGTTTCCCGTGAATTTTGGTTAGCACGTGGATATACATTACCTGAGTTGGATTCCACAAAACTGTGCATGAGAGAGGTCTGAGAGTCAAGCTCTTCATGAAGCTGTGAAATGTCCGGATCAATCTGGGATCAATGCCGAGAGATCACACTTTTTTTTGCAGCGCGTCTTAAGCGCGTCCTCAGAACGCGTCTCGCTAGTTGGGCTGTCTACGTCATGGATCTGAATGCCTCACTGGATAGATTCGACTGTGATGCATTTCTGGACAGCTTCCCAACCACTTCCACCCCAATTCCCACCAGACTTCCGCCGCTCATACCCTGGCTCAATGACCCTATAGGCCTTACTCGGCCTCGCGTACAGCCCACTCTTTCAGAGCCCTGGCTTGGACATTAGCCAAGGTATGGATATGTTCTCAACCCCGGGACCTTCGCATCTGAACACGCCCATGGTGGATTGGTATGAGCTCAGATATAAGACATGTGCGGACACTCATGTACCTGCAGTGCACGGTCCACAAGTCAGATATCCTTTGGAACAGCTGAACGGCCCTACATGTCTGAGGGAAATTTCCTTCCCCAGACTCTTACCAATCTACAGGACACACCTTCAGCTTACCGTGAACTAGTTGGTGCCACGGGTGCCAGTACTGGCATATTAGCAAGGTCACACAGTGTCTGTCAGACAGATATCTCCACACCAGACCAGTGCGCACCTTGTGCTGGTGTTCCCTCATCCCAATTTCGCAAGACAGCAAATGGGATGGCTGAAGTGCTCTGTCCTGAATGCGGGTATTGGTTCAGATTGGGTGCGAGTAAAACTTCCATTCGCCCTTTTGATCTACATGTCGGGACGAGACAGTGCCAGAAGAATGTCAAAAGACGGTTACAAGAAGAACAGACAACTGCATCAGTAAAACTACACATTCTGCTTTGGCGGCTTTCGGCTTTGGAATGGGTCTTTGAGGATCTTGGGCTTTTGAAAATCATCTTTGGGCTTTGGATCAGATCTTTGAATGGTCTTGAGCTTTGAGGCGACATCTTAGGTCTTTCACCGGAGTCTTTCATCATCTGAATGTCTTCTCATTTGTCGATCGAAAATCTGGCGTGAATGATTAAAATGTGAGTTCAAGATGTCTACACCCTTTAAACCTCAAGTGTGTTGAGATTGCAACTGAATTGATTGCCAAAGCGAAGCCGCGGAACTTGAACAAGCACAAAAATTCTCGAAAAGGAATTATCACCCAAATTGAGTCCCAAGGTATACAAGAATAATACAAAGACCTGTATCTGTTCCATGCCCTCTTTCAGCAGTGCATCCTGGAATGATCTCTTGAACAGTGAATGCAAGCGATGGTCGTCTCCGAGTCCACGAATCTTCCAAGTCATTCAAACTCCGCTCCATCATGATCCGGCACGTCGGATGACGTGATTTGGCGACGCCATCAAATGGTTGGTCGCCGTCTCTTTCCCTCTCCCCCCATCTTCTCGCCTTGCCTGCCTGCCTCCCTCAAATTCTAATCTGGATCTGGACTGCAATACCTCAAGATTTCATGTTCAGCCTTGCATCTGCTGTGGTTCTCCTACTCTGTTACTCTCAGCTGCCATCCCTGCCATCGGTGCCCTGCCTCAGTCTCCTGCGCCGCCTGTCAATGCTGTCATGTCCGCATTCTGTCCCTCTCCCCTCCATCCGCGCTGTGTCGCATTAGCCGCATGTGGCATTTCCCCCGTTGTGCATTGTTTCGCACTTTCTGCTGTGTGTGGCCCTTTCACAGCGAACCAACCGCCATTCACATTACCTACCTCTGGTAAGCCTCAAATATCACTCTATATCTTACTCATTCTGGTTTCATTCGCAGGTTTTCGGTGTCCTCTGTGGAAACAAACAGTGTTTGGGTCACATGGCGTGAGGTATGTTTCTCACCTTTTTCTGGCTTCCTAGCTTGTTAACGCTGTGTAGCTGCTGTGTATCAGAGCTGTCCCACCTTTGACACCGCTGTCCCGGTTAGCATCCTGCTCACGTTTCGGCGCCACACCAACTCAAGTATCTCTGGAGCAAGTCCTCTGTCTCCTCCGTTGGCTCGAGTAGGGGTGTGCGGCCGCCTCAAGCTTCTCGTCCGGCGGCGGCGCAGTTATGTCCATGACATGGGGGACAGTGAGCACGGGCTGCGGCAGGGTTGGCGGACACTGGTGCAGTGGCGGCGAGCTGCAGCGCAGCGATTCGGGATGGCACGGGAAGTTCTTGTATTTATATTTCCGTGACTGTATGTACATATATATGCCCCCAATATATGTTTTTCATCATTTTTGTTGAGCTTTGAGCGTAGCTTTGAACGTCTTTGAGAGAAGCTTACCAAAGCTGTAACGCGTCTTTGAGGTCTTTCCAAAGCCAAAATGTCTTTCGTAAGACTTTTGACATAGCCTGGACAAAGACGCGCATCTTTGAGAAAAACACGTCTTTGGTGGCTTTGACAGCTTTACAAAGCCGCCAAAGACGCCAAAGCCAAACGTGTAGTTTTACTGATGTGCGTACCTGCAGCCAAGTCCCCGAACCCCTCCATTTCTAACACGACCCCGATCGGCACCTCCGTCCTCACCTAATAAATCCCGGACAGATGCTTCTACTGCACTGGAAGCTGATCCCGAAAGCGATGTGGATGTGTATTCTGACGTAGAGTCTGACGGTGATTTCGTCGAGCACGAGCGGGCATCTTCCGCACCTGTCGAGGCCTTCATCAATTTCTCTGTGGTTTCTTCATGTCCTGGAGTGCAACTCCCTTGGTCCATGGTCCTGGCAGCAATCCTATCAGCCCCCTCATTAGCAGAACACTCGACCTCGGGCACCATCTCTCGCACATGGCAAGCAACGGCACAGTTCTATGGGTCCACTCCAATTCATGTGCAAAGAAGACCTACAGGCAAAGTGTAGGAGCTTTCCTTGCCAGGAAATTTGTAACCTACCGAAACAACGAGAACTCCAGCGGCGGGTGGTTGAAGGTGCTGCTCCACATACACCATATTCTCATCTCAGTCACCAACAAATGCGGCGGGTCCTCGAAGTTGCAGACAAGAAAATCAATGACCTAAAGCTGGAGGTAAGTCCGTGGTCATTCTGTATCCACGATTACTCACCTAAGAACCAGGGACTTAACCTGAAACGCAAGCTTAAGCTCACAACGTCCCTTCGTAGGCTCGACAATTTTGAGCAACTAGTTATGGTGATTGCAACCTCCGATGCACCTCAACTTTGACAGATCATCCAACATGCTCTAGATCGTAATGTTGGCATCCACGCAATCCTGGAACTGGCCCGGGATGCGATTCAAGGTGTTCGGTGTGTTTACGATTACGAAGAGAAAGAAACCGACCCCGCATCCCTAGTCCAGCATCTGGGCGGCCGACGGCTTCTTTACGCACTCAACCATGGCCCTTCAATTTCCCGTCCATCAATCACCACCATGAAACGACGACGCACCTTCCAATACATACGGCCTCGCACCGGCAAGATCACTGCTGCCGAAGTCACCTACAACTTGAACGCACTATTTGGCAATACAGACACGACAGGACATGCACGCACCGGTTGCAGTCTGCTCATCGACGAGATCAGTGTCCAAGAGCATGCGCGGTGTTGTCGGTGGAATAATGCCATTGGAGGAATTGCTTGCGAGGGTGCACACCTGACAAATCTCGAAATCGACGGCGCTGAATCAATCCAGACTGTAGCACAGCAGGTCCAGGACAGTTTCATTTGTAAAACTAATAGGAGCACGCTTAGTAGAGTGCGGAGCCCCCCGCCATGGGTCTTGGTATGTGTAGCGCTAGCCAATCTCAACTCACCCCAAGCACCACACAAACGAGCAGGAGGCTAAAAACCAAGGTAGGATTGCGATAGCGCAGAGAAGACCTACGTGTACCGCCCTAATTACAATACCATGCACATGCATCAACTGGCCCTCTGAACCACCAACTCGCCTCCCCGCATTATGTAAACAAGCAAGGAAGCATATCTTCTGCCACGCAAAAAAAGGATGGGATCGGTCATGAAAAAACAAGCCAAAAAAACATTCTCTGAATTGGTAAGTGGCTCGAGCCCGAATCGAACGAGCGTCCTCTACGTACTTGGTTTGCATTGCGGTGAGCAGTCGCGGACCACTCCGCCACCGAGCCTTGTAAAGTTGTGCGTCGATACCTAGATTGCACCCTTCCTCTACGGACACCGCACTGCACGGAGAACTTGAATTCTTGCTAGTCACGAAATGTGAAATAAAAAGAGGTGCTGGTGATGACACTGCACAGCTCGAAAAACCAAAACACCGGTGGAAGGGCGAAGAAGGGAGAAGCGAATATACAACAAACGATAAAGCGCCGTTTTTCGTTTGCGAGATTCATGTTGACCTGGGCCATGCATGTCATGTACCGTGACAGCGGAATCGAACGCGCTCGTCGACGTCCTTCCAGTTAATTATATCCCACACACACTGGCAAGCCCCGAACGTTATCACCCCACTTATGCGGCGCACCGCCGATCGCGATAAAAAATGAAGTGCTGTATGACATGACCAACCGACCCACCGCTTTATTAGTATTAAGCGCGCTCCTATTCTAATAGACTCGGCCATGGGTCTTCGTGCAAGTAGGTAGGCAGGTAGGGGTCTATCCCGGCGCGGTAGTGGCATGCTCACCACCCTGCGTGGCGGCACGAACACGCACAACACAACTCACCCCAAAGCGCCAAAGCTCGAGCAGGATACGCTTTTTAAAAATCAAGTAGGATAAGCGTAGAGTAAAATCCAAAAACCAAAACCAAAACCAAAAACATCTGTGGAAGGGTGCAGAAGGGAGAAGCGAATATATAACGATAAAGCAAAGTGTCCCTGTCCTCTCCTCTCGCTCTCGTCTCATCACAGCAGCCCTGTAATCCGTAAATCCATAAATCCGCGTGCGTGCGTGTAGCGTCGCCGGTCGTCTCTGTATGTGTTTATCTTGCAGCGATGTATTTTGATTCGATGGGGCGGCGTCATACGGACGCGGAGCGGCCGCTGGCGGGGGGCGATGGGGGCGGGCGCGGGGGGCGGGCGGTGAGGAGGCGGAGACGGAGCGGCGGGCGGCGGGCGCGGGCGCGGGCGAGGGGCGGCGGTGGGTCTGCGGGAAGGGGTGTTAGGATAGGGCACGACGGCACAGGGGGTGGGAGAGGAGAAAAGAGGGGGCACGCGAGGGGAGGGCGGAAGGACGATATGGCTACGAGGGAGCGCGGGCCGTTCGGCGGAATGACGATGCGGTATGACGAGAAGGCGGGGAGGAGGGAAAGGCAGGACACGGGGAAAGGGGAAGGGAAGGGAGGAGAAGGAAGAGAGCACGTACGTGTCTGCTCATGATGATCTTGGCCATGGACACGGGCGTCTGCGACTCGTAGAGCGCCGGGGCTGTGGGGTGTGTCAGTGACGTGTAGCGATAGGCGTCGAACGAGACGGAAGGGGACGATAAGGGCAGTGGAGCGAGGGCGGGAGGAAGCGACAGGAGGGCATGGGAAGAATGACGGCATGCAGACGTGGCGACAGGATGACGAAAAGGGGTGGAGCGATAAGGGCGGAGAGCGGAGAGTGCGAGGGAGGGAGGGCGGTCGACGACGGAGGGAAAAGGGGCGATAAGGAAAACCACGCACGCGGACACTCGACTTGGGGACGGGCAGCGAGCGCGGGCTCAGGGCGGCGCGGGGCGAAGCCGACGCCACGACCGCCGCGGTAGACGTGCCGCCCGCGCATGGCGGGCGGCGGCGGCGGCGTGAGGGTGATCGGGAGCTTCTCAGCGAGCGGGGGGAGCGTCTCCCACCCTAGTACGATGGGGAGCCATGTCTTCTTCGCGCGCTGGTCCTTCTGCTGCTGTGCCGGCTGCTGCTGGGACGCAGACGCCTGCTTGGGGGACGGGAGCGAGGGGCGGCGGTGGGCGGAGACGACGGCGCGGATGAGGGCGAGGAGGACGACGGTGGCGAGGACGGTGAGGGGGAGGCGGAGGGGGGCGAGCCACGGGTGGGCGGGGGCGGCGGGGAGGAGGTCGTACGCCGGGGCGAAGTCGAACGGGTGTGCGTGGGCCGGCAGGATGAACATCGCAACGAACAGCGAGCGAGCGGGCTGGGGGCTGGCGGGGGGACGCAGGACGACAACAGCCAGATGCAAGCCACAGGCGATGATATACCCCCGGCAACAAGCCGGCCGTTGCTACCCGGCGTGATCCGATCGGAGACATACAGTGACGGTGACCCAAGCCTTGTTGCCGGCACCCTTTCGTCGCACTTGTCGGGGTATGCCCTCATGGTCTCAATTATGCCGCGTACAGCTCAATTATGCCCCAATGAATCGTCTCCCGTCGCCCTTTCCCCGGCACAAATCACGTCAGACCAAGCGTCAGACCAATATCATGATCGTCGCACCGCTTCTCACCCGCAGCGTGATCGCCCCATCCGGGCTTTCCTCGCCGCCCCCTCCGAGAATCCGCCTGAGCCGCGACCCACAACCAACGCGTCTCACACGCAACTCTGGCTTTGAAACCTGCGCGTTCCCACTCGTCCATGTCTTTCGTAGCCATGGTGAACCCCGCATTACTGTCGCGTGTTGCGCGACGCAAATGAAGATATTCTGATAAGCTCGCACAAAGGAACTGAATCTTCTGAAAGACACGTATGCCTCGAGGTGGCCTTATCATCTGACTTGGAATTCTTCACGAATTCCGATCGGAAAATCTACCAGTACACCCGCTGGTTTACCAGGAAAAATAAAACAAAAGACTAACACTCGGATAGCTCGGAACGGGCGTCCTCTGCATCCCTTTCACGGACGCTCAGCAAACGCAGATGCGGACCACTCCGCCACCGAACCTTCGTCAATCCAGTAAAGTTACCCGACTGCATTGCACTGCAGCCGCGCACGTTTCATCTCCGTCTCCACACCGAGAACCTGAATTCTTGCCACTCAAGAAATCTGGAGGCAAGCACTTACTGTTGACGAGGCACGCCCTATGTACGACCTCCTTCAGCTGCATTCGCGCGAAGACATACGTGTACCACTCAGACTAGCCCTAATTATAATACCATGTATGTACATGAATCATCTGACCAGCCGCTAAAACCAACTCGCCGCCCCGCATTAAATAAGTAAGTAAAGTAAGTATATCCGACCGCTCCAAAAAAGTATGTGATCGTGCATGAAAAAAAAAAAGGCAAAAGGAGAAAGTTCCGTAATCGGCTCGAGCCCGAATCGAACGAGCGTACTCTGCATTAAGCGCTATTGAAATCATCTGCAGATAAAGCAGACGCGGACCACTCCGCCACCGAACCTTGCTTGCGTTACACACTCTGTGCCAACCTATCACTCCCACACCTGAATGCATATTCTTGCAAAACTTGAAGAGGTCAGTGCTGTTGATGCCGCACTGCACAGCTCGACCTCGAGCCAAACGCCTCTGTCATGGTCGTCGTGCTGTCATCTGCATCGGCGCGTTGAATCGGCCCTGTACCACTCAGACCGCATTCGAGCCATAATTCCAAAACCAGGCCCGCTGAACCCACACCACCCGCCGCCGCCGGGAAATTCCACCTCATTTCCCTGTGGCATTAACTTGAAATAAGTGCCATCTTCGACCACTCAAAAGTGCGCATCAAAGAACAAGCCAAAAGAGTCGCGACAAAACAAGACGGCTCGAGCCCGAATCGAACGAGCGTCCTCTGCATCCAGAGCGGCAAATATTCAGACACGTGAAGCAGACGCGGACCACTCCGCCACCGAGCCTTCCTCGCGGTTGTCAGCTAGGTTACTATCATCCTTCTGTATACTTTCCTAAAACACATGTTCCGCGTTTTGAGACAGGGGAACACTGCGCCTTCGAAGTAGTACCACACGAACATCCTCACATTTTATCTAAATCCCTCTGCCATGAACTTCCCGCGAGTCACCGGCAAAAAAGAAAAAGAAAAAAACTCACTCCCATCCACGAATATGGCTCGAGCCTGAGTCGAACAGGCTCTCTGCACGCATTAACGTTATTGGATGCAGGGGCGGACCACTCCGCCATCAAGCCCTTATCTGAATCTGCACCCGCCACCCTCATGGTTGGAGAACTCGAAGTTGTTCAGATGGGAAAAACACCGTCTCACGGACCAACGGACGTGTGCATGTATATACTAGCAGCTTGAGCCCGAACCAGACGATCTGCATTTGGAGAGAGGCCTACCTTCGCTGCCGTCGACCCCCTAGATCCAAACCAGAACCCCCTCCCAGAAAAATTCGATCCTTGCTTCCCTGCATTATTGTTATTGTATCTTCGGGCCAAGGGGTCGATAATCATTTGGACTACATAATAAAAAACTTTCTTAGACCCACTACTAAAGATAATGGGAATTATGGAAGACGCGCTTAAATCGGCCACGGCGAGTTTGCTTGCGGCACCAGAGGTGCAACCCAGAAAATTAGAATATTACATGGGTTTAGATGTGTCTAAATGCGGGACCAGATCAAAGCCGGGAAACGATGGACGGAAATCTAATTGTACACCCGCTACAATCCTACACCGCGATTCAGTCCATGGGAACTAGAACATAGGAAAGCACGTACTCCTCAGCCCTATTGAGGGCCTGCACCATATCGGTAACCTCCCTCCGCCGGGCGACCACGGCCTCGCTCTCCTTGAGGAGTTCGTCGATTTCCTCAGGCTTGTACAGCTCTTGGAGCAGTTCACGTTGAAGGTTCTTCGTCGCGTGCCCCACGAGCGTGAGCGAGATCGCCTTCGGGACCATGTCGATCATCTCGCGCTTCACGATGTTGAAGTATGAGTGGATCAGCAGCTCTACGACGAAGTTAAGTACGGGAATCCTGCGGAGTGCATGAATTTCAAAGCAACGAACTGATAGTCTCGGTCTCCATTGTCTCCGGCGCGTTCAACGCAGCCTGCGGCGGTGTCACAGCGGGGGGTGGCTCCATCGTGGAGGGGGGAGGGATTCCGCTCGGCTTCTCCGTAGCCGTATTACCTGAACTACTGACTTTGTTCTTGGAGGGAAAGAACGACGCGAAGAACCCCGGATCCTCTTTCTTCGGCTCGACGTCCAGGTCGCGGTCGTTGTTGATCCGCCCGGGCGCCAGCTTGCCGGTTTTTGGATCCGGCGGCGTCGGGGGCCCGCGAGAGGCGTTCAGGCGCTCGTTCACGAGTGTCGTGGCCTATTTCACACTCAATGCTACAGAAGGAATACGACGAGAAATGCACGGAGCGGACCTTGTGGCCACCGATGAAATCTGGGTGCGTCGTGTTGACGTAGGAGGCTTGCATCCTGCGGTAAAACGTGAGGCGAAGGATAATGAATGAGATACAGAGGGGACGCACGCAACCATATCGGAGACGAGTTTCGTCGTGGGCTCCATCGATTTCTTGAGGAAAGTGACCACAACCGAGTTGAACCGTTTGCGCAGCGCGGGATACCGCCGGAATGCTGGCTGTATGATTTCAGCCAAAGTCAAATGTTCAATTGAGATTACCCACCATCTTGCCCAGAAGCTCGCCGAGGATTCGGAAGAGCTCCTCATACACCAACTGGCAGCACTTCAGACTCGGTTCCTCCAGCCGTGCGATCTGCTGCTTCGCGATGTACTCAAACACCGTCGTCTGGATAAACAGCGCCGGGGTCGAGCCCTGGATACATCCATTGAGCTTCAGCTTCGGTTTATCGAGTATCGCAACGACGCGTTGAACTTACAGAGCAACTATATATAATCGTGCGGATATCCACGTCCTTCACCTGGTCGAACGGGTCGATGTTCTCGATGGCGTGGTTGAACAGCTGGTGAAACACGAAGCCGATCCTCGATCCGCCCGATAGCTCGTTCAACGCCAGATCGCCCGCGTTCTTCTCCTCGATGACGGCGCGGAACTCCGTCATGAACTCGGTGATAACTGAGAGCAGCACATTCGCGGAGGTGCCCTCGACAAGGGGCTCGCCGAGCGTCTGAAGCTCGGCGGACAGTTTCTGGTGCTGCTTGGTGATGCTGGCTTTGATGCTCGGGAGCGTGTTGCGGATGTGGAGCTTGAGAGTCTGAAGGACAGTGGTTTGCTCGAGAAAAGAATCTGTTGGGGAAATAGTCAACGCACGCTGTTAAGTTTCTGTGCAAGGAACGGCGTCCCGCAGTATTTGGCGTTGGCCTTGTACACGGGATGGTTTTCGAAGAATTCGCGTTCTTTCTCCAGAGCAGAACTGATCGGCCGGCTGATATCGATGTCGCGCTGGCCCCGGTTCACAACGGGCACGTAGCCGAGCCGCAGGGGGATGACACGCCCAGCGAGGATATCCACGACGTCCGTTCCGGTATCCCTGCAAAGATATAGTGAATACGAGCAAAATCGTGGTGGCGAAGCAGGTCAGTGCATACATCAGGTCGATCTTCGTCAACACCCCGATCGTCCGCACACCCTCCGGATCCGCCTCGCGCGCCATCTTCAGCCCCTCCAAGTTCGCCAGGTCTTGGTTCGCGGGCGTCACCGCCAGGATGATGCACGCCGGCCGTGTGATGTACGTCATCAGCATATCGCGGATCTGCGCCTCGATGTCGCGCGGCTGGTCGCCGATGGGGGCCTTTGTCAGCCCGGGGAGATCGACAAGCGTGAGCGTCAGGACGTGCGGCGAGTATATTCGCAGATTGATAGGGAGCGGCGAGATCGCCCCGTTGCGCCCCGTCTCGGCCTCGGTCTCGCGCACGATTTCTACGGGGATCTGGGAGAAGTCGAAGAATTTCTTCCCGGGGAGGTGGAGGAACTCTCCCCACTCGTCTTGGTTGGCGGCTTTGTCTGCCCCCTCGGTTTGAGCTAATCAATTTTCAGCGCAAGCTAGTTTCGTGACGGCAGGCTACAAACGTTTCGCATGGGGCGATGGTGCCGATGCAGGTCTGTTGATGAGCTGAAGTACCTAGACAAACGGTTCCGTCGCTGGTCAATAGATGAACGGAGGAGACGTACAAGAGGTCGTCGCGTCACGATCCCATGGCCACGTGGTAGGAAATCTCGCCCAACAATATTCTGTAGGAATCGTTAACACATTTGTTCTGCGGAGGGGTGGCGCGAGACCTCCAAAACGCTGGTCTTCCCACTGCTCTGGCTCCCAAGCACGCAGATCTGCGGGAGGTCTATCTGTGCGGCACTCGACTCGGAGCCGACAATCTCGAAGGCATCTTGCAGTTTGTTGATAATGGAAACAAGCTCAGCGCCGAGCCCTGCCATAGGTCGAATGCAAGGTAGTGGTTGAAGAGATGTTCACGGTCTCCCAGAAGTTCTGACCTTTGGGCGCTGGACACTCGACGGTGATCAAATGGGAATAACTGCGTATTGCACAGTTGCACAGCGACGCTGCCGGCAAACAGGCTAAGGACAGGCACCTCTGTACTTCTGTATGGTAGTCTTTCCTCCACGTGCCCCCATTCATGCCCTCGAGTCACCGCAGCTAGGACCGGTGATTATCCCTTGGGAGGTCGTGTCTGTGGTTTGGACAAAAAATTGGATATGGGCTCTGAAGGTTAGTGGAAAGTTCGGACAACCCAAGGGCACAATGCAGATAGGTTAGTCCTAAAGTTCGGACAATGGTACTGTCCTCGGCAAGGTCAGGTCAAAGTTCGGACATCAAATGGTGGCCACTGATTAAAGTTGGCATAACACTGCATAAGTTGGCCCCCTTCCAAGCCACTGTAGCAAGGGTTCAAACTAGTTTTTGGGCTGCCACAATGCAGTGAGTACTGAAAAGCACATGTTTTATTCAGCAGATTTGTCACCCTTGCCTTCATCTATCAGTAAATGTATGTACTGAAGAGTGACAAGTCTAATTGTATGTGCCTACTGCAGAGCAGTGGCATCCAAACAAATGAATTTCAGGTGGTAAAAAAATACCACAACATTCCCTCTATCATTGACATTGCCTGACACAATATTCTAGAATCCCAGCTCTTCTGTAGAAAATTTCCTGTCCAAAGCCATGTCCATTTCGTAGCTCATTCTAAAATAAATGGGATTTTTCGTGGGTTTTCTAGGTGTTTTTGAGAAAATTCGAAGTCAGATGCAAAGTTCGGACAAATTTTTGTCCTAGAGCCAGAATTCGGACAAAAAAAAAAGGTCTAGTTGGGAAGAAAGTTTGGACAAAAATTTTCAGACAGCCAAATTCTGGACACGACCTTCCAAGGGGTAATCACTGGTCCTCCGCAGCTCCTGGACCCGATGGGTGTCTCCAAGCATTGGAGATTCGTGTGCTGGCGAAGAATATGGGACAATATGATGATGAGACAGCACGAAACATCGTGAGTAGCATTCAAGATGGGACATTTGCACCAAACAATAGAGGAAAGGAAAGAAAAGTGCTGCACTGGCAAATTTGACCAAGTGTCAGACCAGTATCAATGATAGTATCTGATAGTATTATGATCGTCGCACCGCTTCTCACCCGCAGCATGATTGCCCAGGCCCATCTGAGCTATCCTCGCCGCCCCCTCCGAGAATCTGCCTGAGTCATGACTCACAACCAAAGCATCTCACACGCAACACTGGCTTTGAAACCTGTGCATTCCCATTCGTCCATGTCCTTCGTAGGCATTGTGAACCCTATGTTACTGTCGCGTGTTGCACGACACAAATGAAGATATTCTTATAAGCTCGCACAAAGGAACTAAAACTTCTGAAAGACACGTATGCCTCGAGGTGGCTGACTTGAAATTCTCCATGAATTCCGATTGGAAAATCTACCTGACGGTACACCCACTGGTCCACC